TGGTTTGGGGACACGTAGATCTACAAAGTTTCAAACTCAGGTGGAGAAAAAGGAATACTTTTGCTACTCTCAGAAAATTTGTAGCACTACAGTTCCAAGGGACTGTAATTGTTAAGTGATTTAATTGTTAGTCAGTGAGTTACCTTGTTCAAAGCTCAGGAAACACTTTCTATCCAGTGCAGAAATTACTAAATGTACTGTCTGGGGAACATAGATCTCCCTTCTTCAGGCACATCAAAATTTACAACTGGAGATAGTCTGTTGGCATCAGCTGAACATTTCCCATACAACAAACAGAAATGCAGCAGGGGAGCCTCCAGGTTTGGCAACATTTCAGTCCAGCTCTTAAGCAACAGCAGCTGAGTTAAACTTCATATATGACAAATGGTCCATCCAACCCAAAATCCTCCCTCTACAACTTGCAGTCCCTCTACCAGGCCCTTGGACTGCTTGTTGAGATTCCGCTACTGTTTCCCCCTTCACCTCTTATTAACCAACAAAACCACAAAGTCATGGAATTTACTCATAAATCTTTTCCTGGCCATCCACAGCAAGAGGAGCAGGAAGCTGCAGGAAGTGAGGGGAAAATGCTGACAAGCATGAGGTCTGTTTCTGTTCCCTCACCTTGTCACATCTCTGAGCAAGGCACCCCTGGGTACCACTGACTAGCTCCCTGCATGCCTTTAGAGCAGGAAATGACATTCAGGGATACTCAGTGCTCACTATTCTCTATTTTTACTCTTTGGATTCTCAGCCTTCATCCCCCTAGACCTGTCACTATACTTCAGCTCTCCTATCTGTTTATTCTCCCCCTGCATTCAGAAGAAGATAGGATTTAGATTTGTTAGGGACAGGTTAACACCCACTCTTCATGCAAAAAAAATTTGTAAAAATAGCAAAGACACTCCCTATAGACAAGGAAAGGGAAGCATCATGCATTTGCCCAATGCCAGCATTCTCCTAATTGGTAGTTAATCTCAGGTGTTTTCCTCAGGTGGATTCCATCTGCCTATTTAATTATCTTCGCTCCTAATCGCCTCCTCCGAATGATTTTTGCATCTATTACATCCTTTGGGGGGAAAAAAAATAAAAAATACATGCATTGCCTTTTGCATGAAGATCTACCTCATTTAAAGCCTGAGTCCTTGCTTGATAGTAGCAAACAGCAACTGCTTCCTCTACCTACCCCCTCTAGACCTACCATAACCATGTACACTATAGTCAACTCTTCTAGAAAGTGAAGACTCTTTTCTATGAGAACTTTGTCTTCCACCTGAAGTACAAAAATGTAAATAAAAGCACACCCAACAAATATTGGCTATGATCCATGTGAAGTCTTTCACTATAAATATCACAATGTCTCAAACTAATTACGTAAGCATGAAATGGAAACAGCCTAATGCTTGAAATACGTCCCTGGATGAGGGGGGCTGACATTCATAAGAAACGACCACTTTCACCTCAACTTCCCATTTTTCTCCTTCAGTGTAGTCAGCAAACATTTGATGATTAAGCTGATCTTTTCCAGAAATCCAAGTGGGCTGTGTTTGACAAAGACACCGTCGCTCAATGAAACTGAACTGTCACAAGATAAGAAGGACAATTCAATTATGAGTTAATAACTGATTAACAGGAAATAAGTTGGAACAACGGGTCTTTTTCCCCCAAAAAAGAAGGGTCACCAGTGGGGCCCCACAAGGATCTTTTCTGGGATCAACACCTTGCATGTTTTAAAGCAAAATCTAGTGACAAGGCTTAACACTTTTTTTGTCAGAGTTTGCTGACAATGCTTAAAGTTATTCAAGGTTGCAAAAGCAATGGCCAAAGATCTAAAGAAGACCTTAATGATACTGTTCAAGTGGGCTGTAAAGTATCAGATAAGATTAAATGTAGATAAATATAAAGTGAGGAACAGTATTAAAAAAAACCCTAAATTTACATAGACAATGACAAATTCTGAACTAGTTATTACCTCTTAAAAGAGTGATTGTGGAATTATCATAGTTCCACAGAAGTGCCAACTCACTGCTTAACGACCATCAAGAAAAAGCAGGCAGAAGATTAAAGAATAAAACCCAATATACTCTGGAAGTTTACAAGGTGGCATACACTGAAATACTGTAGCCAGTCCTGCTTATTGTAACTCAGCCCTGTTCCTCCAATTCCTGCATCACTGTCTCCAATCAGGAACACATTAGCAGGAGATGCAAATAACACAGCAAGGGCAATGAAAGGAATGGAGCCACTTCTTTCTAAAACTCCCCTGGAATAGTCACAAACAAGGGATGGTAAATGAAAGAAAAAGTCATCAACCCACAAGCCATGCAGAATAACATGGATTCTCTTTTTCACTGCCTCTTCCAACATAAGAAATAACAAACAAGGCATGAAACCAAGCGGGCAGAAAGTTTAAAAACAAACAAAAATAAGTGTTTTTTCCACACAAAATGTGTTTGAGCCTTGCAACTCGGCCACAGGATGTTGTGGATGCTACAAGCATACACGGCTTCAAATACTGATTGGACAAATTCACAGAAGAAAAAACACACTGGGGGCTCTAAAAACAAACATCACCTCTAGTTCCGGAAACCTGTGAGCCACAAATTACTGGAGGCTGGGAGAGGCATTTCCTCAATACACACTATACTCTTCTCCAAGCATCTGCTTTTGGCAGCTGGGAGAGGCAGGATACTGGGTGAGAGGGATCTTTAATGTGACCAAGTACAGTAATTTTTACATTCTTACGTAACTCATAAAAAAGTGAAAACATTAATCGTATGTACGTCGGAACTATAAGCAAAGCACAGCAAAGGACCAGATTTTTGAAGGCCTAAAAGGTCAGTACCATGATTAACTGTTGCAGTCACAGTTTGATAAGGACTTTTTTTTTTTTCCCCTCAACACTAGAGTAGCTTAGCCTCTCCCAACCACAAACTTGTGCAAATGTACGGCAAACAAAGAAATGTGAATTTAATTCTGAACGCTCCCTGCAGCTGTGCACACTGTTGCACTGGCACAGCTGAGGGCATGTTACAGGCTTGGAAACAACTGGGCTACTTAAATCAGAAGTGGCCCCAAAGGAAATACTTGTCAAGCTACAGGCTGGATCAGAGGAAATGGAGTATCATTCTGCATCTCAGAAGGCCCTTTTTACCACATCCACACTCTCACCTAGGGATGTTTAAAGAAATACTGTATTATTGATATTAAAGACAGAAACACTGAGTTTGTCCCGTTTATTACATTTGTCCAACATATCCATTTATTTCCAGTTGTTTACCACATTTACAAAACATCAAATTAAAGACAAAAGGGGAGAGGGGATGAGGGGTTCTCCTCAAAGGCTGGAGGGCATCTCAGACAGGATGGGTAGAAATCTTCTTAACTTTAGCTGAAAAACTCCTCAAAGACTCCATCACACCAAATACCTGCCAGCATGGAAAGATTTGCTCCTACAAGTCACATCAGGTCCTAGTCAAGGCACCCAAGCTAAAAACAAACTGGCACTATCTCCCATTAAAAAGCCTTGTGCATCTCAAAAACCAGCATTTCTCAATTCAAAGCCTTCCCAGGTTTGCAGTGTTGATGTTGTTTTGGTGAAGCTTCCCAACTGTTCAACGGACTGCGAGATACGTGGCGTGTTCTGTGGGCCCGATTTGTAAGTTCAGTTCACAACTACCAAGAACGGAAATAATTCCCTTCAATTTCCAGGTCAATGTCACAAACAACACCTCAAAACAGCACAACAGCACAAGGAACACCTCGGCACTGCATTTAGCAATAACTCCACACATTTCTTCCTTTAATGGACAGCTGGGAAGGTACTAAGTCACCTCTTCTGATTTCAGGGTGATTTTCTTTTTCCTGAATAAGGATCTTTGCGTTCTTTAATTGTTCCAGGAAGGGATAAAAGGAGCAGCGTCTATCTATCAACCACCTGGATTAACAAGGCACTAGAGAATAAAATAAGAGAGTTTTCTTCTTCCAGGGCCCAGTCTGAGAAATATATATTCAAAAGATATCCAAGAGAAATACTACTCAAAGCCAAAATACAAGTCTCCTATAATTGAAGGCTATGTAATGCAGCTTTCCTAGAAAAAAAAAACTTAAGAAATTATTTTTAAAATAGCATGAACCTGTGCAACAATGTAAATTTAAGACACCTTTTTGACAAAGAACCTAGTTTTTCGCTTTGGTCCAAAATACAGCAAAACAAAGCAATGAATTACTGAATCCTGGGAATCTTCATACTTGTGACACTTCCTCCTACTCCTCAAATAAAAAAAAATAGCATTAATTATCACCTACATTTTTAAACTGCTAAGTGTCATCCCTCGTTTTTCTCACTTGTAAAACTAGGAATATCAAAACACACCAAAACAAAGTGTTAACAATCCTAAACTTTGGGTTAGGATGTCTTCAGTATCTCATGCCCAGAAACCCTAAGCAGCAATCAGTGGATCCTATTTTTTGGGGGGATGAAACAGGAGAGAGGATGCATTGAACTTACACCCTCTCACATGTAACAAGCCTACGCATTTTCAAGTACCTGCAAAGGTATGGTACGTTTCCTAAATAAACCACTTCTGGAACTGAGACCTAAAAAATGCTGGGAAACGCATCGTAATTATCGCCGCGACAAGGAGCGACCTACAGAGGGTTACTAGAAAGACGTATTCTGTAATTGTTAATACCAGCAAGCACGTAAGAGAGGCTCGATTTCACCGCATCCTCCCTCGCTCCTCCACGGGCGCACCGCGGCTCCCGCACCGCTCGCTCACGCCACGCCGGCAGCACCGACACGGCACCGCCGCCACCCCTCCCTGCTCCGGGGGCACCAACCTGCGGGAGCGGCGGGCGAGGATTCCCGGGGGATGCCGCCGCACCGAGCGCCGCCGCCGCTCCCGCCCCGCGATCCCGGCCCGGCCCGGGACAGCGGCCCCGCCACGCGGGGCGCGTCTCCATAACAACGCGACCCCCGCCCCGCGTCCCGGCTTTACCCGCTCCGGCGCCCCCGCGGCCCGGGAGTCCTCCGGCTCCTTCCTGCCGCCGCCCCCCAGCAGGGCGGCTCTGCGCTCCGCCGCGCTGCCGGACACCGCCCGGCCGGGCTCCCTCCGCGCCGGCGGCGGCGGCGCCGCTTTGTCCCCCCGAGAGCGGCCCTTCCTCATCGCGGCGGCTTCTCCTCCTCCTCCTGCTCCTGCTGCTCCCGCTCAGCGGCGGCGGCCCGGCCGGGCGCCCATGGCGGGGCGGGCGGCGGTCACGGAGCGCCGGGGCGGCGCGGCGGCCGCGGGCACCTGCGCGCGGGGCGCGCGGGCGCGGACATGCCGCGCGCTCCCGCTCCCGCCGCCTTTCAGCGAGCGCGCCCGCCGCGGCGCCGCCCCCCCCGCCCCGCGCGCCGCCGGCTATCGCGAGAGCCGCGGGAGGAGGAGCGAGACGCGGGGGCGCTGAGGGAGGAAGGGCGGCGGGGCCGCCGAGGGGCGAGAGGGGGGCGCGCACGGAACCGGGGCAGAGCCGGGGACACCTCGGGGACACCCCGCAGGCCACGGGCTACCCGGGCGGCTCCGTGCGGCACGGGCTCTGCGCCCATGCCAGGGCTGCCTCGCAGGAGGAGGCTGGGAGGCGCCGGTTGAGGATGCAGCGTGCGGAGTGTCACCCCGGCGTGAGGGCAGCGTTTGTGCCCCACAGGATCTCAGTCTCCCTCAGTGGACATAGTCCAGAACCGTGTGGGTGCAATCCTGTGCCACGTGCTCTGGAACTACTCTGCTCGGGAGGGGGACCTGCGGTGCCTTCCAACCTGACCCATTCAGTGATTCTGTCGTTCTGTGACTCTGAATCACAGAATGTTTCGGGTTAGAAGGCACCGCAGTGGCTCATCCGGTCCCACCTCCCTGCTCAAGCAGGGTCGTCCCAGAGCACGTGGCACAGGATTGCGTCCAGACGCTTCTGGAATATCTCCACTGAGGGATTCCGCACCCTCTCTGGGCAGCCTGCTCCAGTGTACGGTCACCTGCACAGTTAAGTTCTTCCTCATGCTCCGGTGGAACTTTCTGTGCATCGTGCTGCCCCCATCATCACGATCCAGGATCAGCTCAGGTGTCCAGCAGCATTTGGTTTCTCTGACAATAAACTCTTAATTGCCCCTAAGAACATCAGGTGGGCACAGGACCTTCCTGGTGGTGCCACCTGTAGTCGGTAGCATGGGGAAAATGCCACACTGTTCCTCCAGCAGGATGCAGTGGGATCCAAGCCCCAGGCCCCGCGGTGCTCGGGTGACTGGAGCATCCCCCATCCCACTGCAGGAGCTCAGAGCTGCAGGGAAACATTCACCAGCTGCGCCACCAAGCTCTACAGCACACTTACTATGGGGCACACTGAGATGTGGTTCACCATCTTCTCGGTAGAAAAGACAAACCTTCAGAGATTCATTACCTTGAGGAGTAATCAGAGCACATATCATCATCTTGTGTTTCATCTCAGTAATTCACACCCTCTCGGCATTTTTGTCTTCGCAAATTATTTCCTGAGGGTTTAAGTTACCAGTTTCTGCATTCGTTTTTCACAAAAGCAACTTCAAAGTTGCCTTTTTTTTTTTTCACCATTACATAGCCAGGAACCTTGCTGCTGCTGCAGAAAAAACAACTCCTTCTCCCTTTTAAAAGTGCTGAAAAGGCTTATGCATCTTCAACCAGGAAACCTGATGTATAAATTTTTTATTAATTTTGTACAGAGACAGACAACAAAAATACACTTCCCAACGATTTATTGAGGTAGAAGAGTGGGAGCATTATTAAGTACTTATTAAGAGTATTTAAATGCTTGCTAAAAACTATTTCAGGATGCTGGATTAGTCACAGAGATTTTTTTCCCTCATAATTGTATATGATAGGGATGGACAACCATGTGGAACTTCCCAGCTGGGAATCCTGCTCTAACTAAATGTAAATAATGCAAATTTATGGAATCTTGGCATCCTCGTTAATGGGAGTCTATTGGGATGGCACAGTGCCTCATCATAATTTGGCTGGATCTTTGCCCTATTGCAACATAGATGCCAATTAGTCATTTGTTGGTTATGGCCTGTGGGACACCTTGCACTGGCTCACACCTCTTCGCTTCGTGTGCCAGAAAGGAATTCATGCAGGCAGAAAGGAAGAAAAGTCACAATGAGGATTTGAATAACATTACCTGTCTAAAGTATTTAAAAAAAATAAACATATTAAAAAACAAATCTTCAGTTGTTTGTTTTAGACAGAATTGCAAATAATTGCCTTCTGGTTCCATATTTTAATCAAAAACTTTAAAAATCTCTTTCATCTCCGCAAATCAAAAAGCCATTTGGGGGTTAATAGGGCATTTTACTTGTGAAAAGATTGCATTTGGTTTGCTTCTGGCATATTTCCTTCTCTGTTTAATCCCTGTTTAGTATTTTGGACTCAAAATGTCTTTCCGATATTTTTGAAACAAAAGAACAGTGAGGTTTCATGTTGACGGAATAGGAAAAATACTCATTTTACTGGTTCTCCCATAGTTTTTCCGTTCAAACTCGTCACTGAGTATGACCTGAATCTGCAGCCCAGTCTGAGTGACCTGATTTTTCTTTTCCATATGAGCTAGTTTTCTGAACTTTTTTTTTTTTTCCAGCTTTAAATAAAAGTAAACGAATCATGAGAGGCTTGGCAGGGAAAAGGGGCACAGATGAACAAGGCAGAGCAAGGTGTGATGCCACGCCAATGCTCATGGTGTTTGTCTCCAGAAATATTCTGTCACATCCAAAAAAGACAGAAGAGTAATTAATAAAGGTTTATATTCTTATGATTCTTGTGTTATCCAGACTGCCCAACACAGAGCAGGGGACCACAGAGAGCCTGTGTAGCTCACGTGCTGATACTCAGTTAATGCAGTTTCTCTTTGCAGTTCCAGATATTTCCTTCCCTGGCTTCCACCTTCCGTTTTCTCCATACAAAGAATGTCTCAGCATGCCCTTCTGATTCAGAAGGAATTATGCTATCAGGAAGAGTTCCCTTCCATTCTTCTCTAGCTGGTTTAAAGAGACTTTGGTAAGGCAGAACACAGAGTCTAGTCCAGCTTATCCCATAATGTTTTCTGAAAAGATATAAATTCATCTGCAACATTTTTATGACTGCCGAGCACACAGCTACAGCAATAATTCCTGGAGCTGGAATAGAGATATGCAGCCTGAAGCTGTGAGGTTAAAACCTCTTTATGCCAAATAGGATATGCTGAAAGTCATTAGGATGCTGCTGAGCAAGAGAATTTCCTCTTAAAAATGAAGTACTTCACTTAATCATTTGAATTCCTATTAAATTCGAACGTTTGGCAAAACTGGTGCCACACAAAACCCATCTGATCACCTGTTTCCACTGTTTCCAAGGCAGAACTGCATCATTAATGCCACCAAAGAAGTATATCACCACGACTTGTCATTTGTCATTCCGCTCACACCGTGCACACAACCTTCGCTCTCGGTATTTCTGCTCTGCGTGAGACAGAGGAAATGTCTTTGGTTGTTCTGCATGTGAGTCTGTCAAGCACCTTCTGTTAGTGGCCCAGTTCTAATGGTATTCACAGACAAGTTTTGGGCTTTACACTGGAATACTAATGTTTGGCAATTGGCACTGTGCAGTCAGGCAGGAAGACAGCACGGCACTGCAGCACGTTGTGCTGTACCTGCGTAGAATGTCAGTAATGACAAGTAATTACAGAGGCTGCACGTCAGTGCCGTGACTCCTGGATGCTTCTCTGACTTCCCCCTCCCCCGTGACAGCATTCTTTTTTCAAGATTCACAAATAAAAAACAACCAGCACGACACAACTAGAGAATACCAGTTATAAGCAAAATAAAAAACAAGGGTGAAAAGGTAGTCCTACAGAGCACAGAGAGACGTGCTGGGCAAAGCTTTGACTGAGACTAATCCATTACTCTTTACAGAGTGAGGCAGCATTTCGTTCAGCGCAGTGCAAGAACCTCATCCCAGCCCTGCCAGGCTAGCCAAGCAATGAGTGATGCCTGCACAGCTGAGGTCTGCAGCCACAGAGTATAGCTCCCCATCATCACCTCTAAGCTCCAGAGAAATGGTAAGAAATGCAGGATTTTCCAAAAGAATGCAGGAGAATTAGTAAATCTGGGACCCTGACACAATCTAGGCAAGATTTAGTGAGGTCTGCTCTTTGAGGAGGTCTGCATTAGACATTTGTGTAATCAATAAAAATACTTATAGTTACACGAGGATTTTTTACAGGAAGGTTATAAACAGTCATGTTTCAAGGCACAAGCTAAACATTAAGGAATTCAAGAGGATTAGGAAGAAATTTCTTGCAAGCAGGTTTTTTCATAAAAGTGTATTATACCGTATATTAATCCAGTGGATCTTCACTGGAAACTGCCACTATTAGTCAGTCTTAGGGACAGAATAACGAAGTAAACTAACTGGATGGCAATTAATTTGAATGGCAATTACTAGATCTAGATACAACAAAATTCCAGTCATAACTGTATATGATTTGCTTTCCAATAGTTCTTTTCCTTCTTCATCTACCATGAAGGACATAAATCCTTGTTTGCAGTGATGCACTATGTCAAAGTGCCAGCTTTGCACTGCTCTAACCTTGGGTTTGGTATCATATTTGCATCTGGTAAGGAAGTAGAAGATATAAATGTGCAAATATGTAACAGAAGTTAAAAGTATGGCTGCAATAGTGCTTAACAGCACTTCTTAGCAATAAAAGCTCATCAACCACATTATAGTTTTAAAGAGAGAAGAGACCTGTGAATGTGCTGCTTTCATTGTCAGCTTGGATTTGTTTGTACAGCAATTGCCACAGTAGGGCTGTTACCCCCAGGTGTTAACAGAGGAGAAGTTACATATGCACATAAATGTGTTTATTCGTGTGTATTTCTGAAAGGTCCGAAAAGAGAAGCACGTGGGGAAGGGAAAGATACCGGCCAGCAGGAGTGGCATCAGATCCTAACTGTTGTCACCCTCTCTTGGTCACCCAAACAAAGGTGAGTTTTAGGAAGGGCCCAGGGGAGGATTACACGTAGTTGAACTGTTACTTTTGGAAACACCTCCCAAATAGATGACAAATACAAGACTGCAAGCCATGGAAATCCAACAGGTGTGAGGTGGAGACTGGCACCAGGACACTTGTAGAGACTTAATGTGTCTGCATTGAAAGAGAACAGACAGAGAGAGCACAGATAAACTGAAAGGGATTTGGAA